TCAGTTCTTAACTTTTTTAGAAATAAAATGTAGATTAATAATGCCGATTTTGAAAATTGCTAAAAAAATCTAAATGGGGCACGAAAGTCAGGAGTAACCTTTATCTAAAATAAAATTCTCATATTTAGATAATGCATGTAGATTTATCAGCTTTACAATGAGAAAGTATCGGATTAAGAATGCAAATTATGAATTTTATATGAAAATTGTAAACAGAGTATGAGAGTCAAGCGTAACCTTTATATATCAAGCATAAATCTCTCATATTTGGAACATATATGTAGATTTATCGGCTCTATGATATTGCTTAATGATAAAGTATCGATTGAGAATGCCGATTTTGAATTTAATATGAAAAAACTGCTAAAATTGTCAAAACGGAGCACAAAAGTCAAGCGTAATCTTTAGTTATCAATTATATAATTTTCATATTTGGAGCATATATGTAGATTTATCGGCTCTACGATATTGCTTAACAATAAAGTATCGATTGAAAATGCCGATTTTGAATTTAATATGAAAAAACTGCTAAAATTGTTAAAACAGAGCACGAAAGTCAAGTGTAATCTTTAGTTATCAATTATATAATTCTCATATTTAAAGAATATATGTAGATTTTTTAGCTCTATAATATTGCTTAACGATAAATTTTCAATTGAGAATGCCGATTTTGAATTTCATATGAAAAAACTGCTAAAATTGTCAAAACGGAGCACGAAAGTCAAGGATAATCTTTAGTTATCAATTATATAATTTTCATATTTGGAGAATATATGTAGATTTATTAGCTCTACAATATTGCTTAACGATAAATTTTCAATTGAGAATGCCGATTTTGAATTTCATATGAAAAAACTGCTAAAATTATCAAAACAGAGCACGAAAGTCAAGCGTCATCTTTAGTTATCAATTATAAAATTCTCATATTTGAAGAATATATGTAGATTTATTAGCTCTACAATATTTCTTATCGATAAATTTTCAATTGAGAATGCCGATTTTGACTTTCATATGAAAAAACTGCTAAAATTGTCAAAATAGAACACAAAAGTCTAGCGTAATCTCTATATATCAAGTATAAATCTCTTATTTTTGAATAATATATGTAGGGTTATCGGGTTTACAATATTGATTAATAATACATCGTCGATTTAGAATGCCGATTTTAAATTTTATATGAAAAAACTGCTAAAATGTACTGCATCACATATTATTTGGATTAAAATTTCTAACGGAAGATACTTTAAAACTATATTTGTAATAATATTTAAACAATTTATTTTTAAATATTATAGGTTTTGAGTATATTTGTATGAAAATTACAAGAAATTATACACATTAGATTTTGGAGTTAACATATAAGTAAAATGTTTAAATCGACTTTTTTATATATAAAAATTGCGAAATGCATGATGTCGATCCTTTAATTTTTTTTTTTAACGATGTGGCACTGCCAATAACTTTATTAAATTTATACAGAAGATCGATCCTTTAATTGAAGACAATTGCCGTAAGATTAAGGGACATATCTTGTATAATATTGAATTAAGAATAATTAAATGCGTTATAATTTTAAATTTTTACAATTGAAAGGACATGTTTGATGACTGTTATTGTTTAAAGTAATAATTATTTGTAAATCCTTCAGAGCTCTCCCTAAAAAGTATTTCATAAAAAAGCTAAATCCCTTTGTTAATCTTACATTAATACTAATTTTCAGTCGTTAGTATCATAAGATAACAATATAAAAATTAATTTAAATATATTTTTTTATTCTAAATAAATATTTTAAATTTTAATTTAAATCTTTAAACTAATTTTATATATAAACCAGTTTGAAATCATAAACTGATTTGAGTTTAAAACTGATTTTATATTAAAAAACTGGTTACTGGATTTTTAAAAATTTTTTTTAAAACTGGTTACTAAATAAATAAACTAAAACTGAAGATTGAAAACTGGTTTTGAAACACTAACTATAACAAAAATACTAAAACAAAGTAGGAAATAGAATTCTGCATTTAAAATTGAAGGTTTAAAGAAATTTTCAGAAATAAGGGAATCAAGTTTTCAGAACTTGATTGAGCTATGAATTTATAAATAGAAAATGTGATAGCAAATAGTATTGTTTTAACAGATTTATTAATAAAAGAAAAGGTAAGATTTTTTGCTAATACATTTAATATACAAGAAAATGAGTTAGTTTTTCTAATGGTTAGCTATATAAATTCAAGAAGCGTAATAATATTTATAAGTATTATATACATAGGAAATCTAGAAGTGTACCATTAGAATCTCTTTTAGAAGAACGAAAAAAATTACAATCATTTCTAGTAGATATACTCTTGATTAGATTTACAATATTAATGAAATGGTAAGTCTTTAATTTATTTTTATATTATATGCGCTAATACAATATCTAATTTATTATTATCAAAATAATATTAAAGGGCCTTTTTTATTGAATATCTTTTAATCAAATACTTTTCACTAAACCTGTTTTTAGTAAAAAGAAAGACAAATCAAGAATTGCAGTTCTTCTTAATACCAATACAATAGGGACAGATAAACTTAAACCATGAATAATTGGAAATACAAAATGCCTAAGATCTCTTTCAAAAATTAACTTAGAATGTCTTCTGATCCATTATCGTAAAAATCTAAAAGCATAGATAAACTCTTTAACATTTGAAGAAGTGCTTCATGAATTGGATAGTTATTTTAGAATGCAAAATAAAAAAATTTTACTTTTGATTGATAATGCTCTATTTCATTCCAATTTATATTATTTGTAAATTTTAGAAATTAAGGAAGACAATTAAAATGATACTGATAAAGAAGGTGATTATAAGAATGAATTAAGTGAACACAATAATAAATCAAGAGATCATGATAGTGATTCAAGAGGTTATAGATAAAGAGGTCGTAATAATAGATCAAAAGGCTGAGATCATAGTGGTAGTGAACCAAGAGATTATGGTAATGAGTTAAGAGATCATGGTAGTGGATTGAGAGGTTATAGTAGTAGATCAGAAGGATATAGTAGAGGTTATAGTGATAGATCAGGAAGACGTAATAGAAGTTGTGATAGTGGATCAGAAGGATATGGTAGAGGTCGTGATGGTAAATCAAGTTATAATAAACATCAACTTTAACTAACTCATATTGAATTAACCTACTTACTTTCCAATATCACAAGCTATCTTTAATCACTCGATGCTAGAATTATTATGAATTTTAAAAGCTATTTTAAGAGAAAATACTGCCATTATATGTTAGATCTTTTTGAATATGGAAAAAATATTAATGAAGAGAAAATGAATATTAAAAAAGTAATAAATTATCCCTTAAACTATAGAACAGGTAAATTTGCCTGCAAACATAAAAAAAAAGTATTAATTTTTTAATAAAAAATAAAATATTAATGTTAATAATATAATTATTATATAAAAATATAGTTTAATATATATTTTATCAACTTTATTAGAAGAAATTTAAGTTTATTAAGAAGTTTTTTAAATAATTCAATTTTTAAAATTAAGTTTTGAAAATTTTATTATAATAATTTTTTTAAAATTTATATATTTGTGAACTAATTGAATCACTTTACTATTAATAAAAATTATAAAATTTCTTAGTAAATTATAAAAACTGTAATAATTAAAATTATTCTTTATGATAAATTTTATAATATTTTATTATGATAAATATTATTAAAAGTAAACGTTAATAAGTTGGTCAAAGGTCAATGATAAAATTTTTTAATTTATAATTTTTTTAAAATTACAAATTTTTAACTTATAAGTAATCTTAAATTATTTATTATATAATTAAAAAATAAAATTTATTATATATTTATAAAATTAATTTTTTAAAAAATTTTAATTTTTCATAAAAGTAAATCAGAAGAGAATTTATAGTAAATAAGCAGACAAATTTGCTTGTGAACCTCTATAGTTTAAGAGATATTGCAGAAGCATGAGGTTGTGTAAGTGAAGAAACAATATTGAATTGTTAAAAAAAAACTGGAATCTTACCTTCTTCCACTAATGAAAACATACATAATGTGACATAAACTTTATAAGAAAAAAGCGAAGAAGAAGCAGCATATATTAATCAAATGATTAAAGAGCTTAATATGAATGATTTATGTGCTTCATTATTAGCAAATACATTAAATAATTTCTTTTATAATTTAGAAAGAATTTCAACTGAGGATACTTTAATTGAAAATGATATTATAAATCTTATTCAAAAAGAAATACATAATGAAAATGATGAAGGTAGTGATTTTGAAGAAGAACAAATGTTAGTGTCTCCAGACAATGCTTTTAAATCTTTACAAATTAGATTACATTTTTTGAGCAATAATAAACGGATAAATTTTGTGTAAAAAATATGAACATCTTTAACAAGTATTTTAAGATAGTTAAACAGTTAGAATTACAATCTCAAAAGCAAGTTCTAATTACAAATTTTTTTATATCTGATAATATGTAATAGTAATAGAATAGCATTTAAACATAGCATTTATACGTAACATTTATACATAGCATTTATAATATTTAAATAATATTTAGTATATTATATAACGTTTTTATTACATTTAATAAATATAACACATTTAACTAGCATTTAATAAAGTATTTTTTTAAAAATTAACTATTATGCTATTATTTTGACCTCCATATAGTCACCATATATAATTTTTAAATATAAAAGTGACTGTGTAGAGATTACCTTTTTACAGTCACACCTCCATATAATCACTGATTTTGAGGGAACCAATTAGGTGACTATATGGGGGGTCTGACTGTAGTTTTGAGTACCGTATTCTCCCGATTTTAAGCACCACCCCGACTTTGGGTGAAAAAGTCCAAAAAACAAAAATAAGCACCACCCACATTTAAATAA